TATCGAAGATATTTTCATATCAAAGACATTGGAACACTTGCCCTTTTGTACACTTTTATTTATTTTTTACTTATTTTTTTGCTTTTATTTTTATTTTGATCTTTTGATATCACTCAAGCCTTTTAGAATTGCATAAGTTGCACACCATGCCATCCCAAGATTAGGTAGCTATGGGTTAAAAAAACAAGGGTCTATCGTTAGACGAGGCTCAAAGTGGTTTATGAAGAAAGGATGTATAATTGAAGGGTGAAAGGAGATATGATGTGGTTACAAGGGGTGCCTCAAATCATTGGTATACCTTGTGCTTAATTCAACATGGATTTTAATTTATTTATTTTTTTTTTAATGAAATGCAATGTGATGATCATATGCAAGGAAATAAATGCTCATTTTATTAAAAGGGAAAAATAAATAGAGAATCTAAAAAGTAAACTTAAGGGAAAAGAAAGGTGCCTATGCTAGACTTATTGGGGAAAGGAAAAAATGAAAAAGAACTAGAAAAAAGAGGTCATGAAATCTTGTCATTGAAGCTCGCCTCTATCTTGTGTTGTTTGCTCCGACATCATCCAGTCTTCTCGCTAGCTAGAGGCAATGGGATCTTATTTGCCTCTATGAGATCTTGAATGAGGTTTTGAAACCTGTAGCATTCATCAGTGGTATGACCGCGCTCTCGATGGTACTTGCAATAGGAGTTTGGATTCCATCTCGAAGATCGATTTTCTGGTGTTGGATCCTCGGTAGGGCCAATAGGTTTGATTAATCCTCGATCATAGAGACGATCGAAAGCAGCATCGTAGGTCATTCCAATGGGTGTGAACTCTCGCCTGGGTTTCCTTTTAGATCCTTGATTGTCCATGGCTAAGACACCATTATGGTCAAAGGTACTAACATTATTACTAGAGTGTGCGTTTTCGGAAGAAGAAGGATTGTCGTTCTTCTTTCCTTTCCAGCCACCGTGGTTACTATTGTTAGTAGCTTTTTGCTTTGCGAGGTCGTCTTCGATTTCAATTCGGATGTCATAAACGGCCTTGAAAGTATTAAAGTTGTGTTGATATTTTAAGTGCTTTGAATACTTTTCTTGGAGATTCTTGATAAACATCCTCATAGACTCCTTTCGGTGGGGACCTCAATCATCTTGGCGAAAGTTTCCCTCCATTTATTAAAGAAAGAAGTAAAGCCTTCATTCTCTTTTTGTCTTAGCATCTCAAGTTGTCTATGGTCGGTTTCAACTTGGATATTGCACTTGTACCTATCAACGAAAGCGTTTACTATCGCTTCCCAGGTAGAGGTTTTCTCCTTGTCAAGGGAGAAGAACCATTGTTGGCAAACGGTTTCAAGAGATAATGGGAACAGAGAGGGGAAAACCTTCTTATTGATACCCTTAATGTTCATTATAGTTTCGAAAGCTCTTAGATGAAAATAAGGGTTATCAGTTGCCTTGAATTTAGGGATGTCAGTGGCGTTGAACTTATGCGGAAGAAGTTCCTTGTCCAGCGAGACCCCTAGTGAACTCATGCCCTGAAATTTATAGTCACTAGATAGCTTGCTCAAAATTTTTTGCATGAGGTTCATTTGTTGTTGCTTCACGGGATCATCGATCTTGAGTGTGAGTAGCTTCAGTGTCTCAGTCACGGTAACCAATTGGTTCCTAAGCTCATTGACTTCTTCTTGGCTTGCCATTATCTTTTTAGCCTTCCTCTTTTGACGAATCGGTTTATCAAAAAGCGAAACTTGAATAAAGAAGTTGTCCTTAATTAATCGCCCTTCTCTCCTCGACCAAGTACTGTGGAAAAGGAATTTGGGGATATTCATTGTTAATTATTTGACTCAGACTTTATTCAACATGCAATGGATGGAGGAAGTCAAGAAGGATTGGAATAGAATGTGAAAGAAGATTTAGATGGAGAGATATAAATAGAATGTACCCCAAACTCAAATGACGGAAAAGACCGACTCATGCATGAACCTAAGACATGGTCATGGTGACATATACTCGAAGTGTGTGCTAAGACTAGTGAGTGTAGGTGACATATTAAGACTCGTGTCATGTAACACCCCAATAGTTCTCTCATTTTCAAACCACTTACTTTAAATAAAAACAGAGGAGAACCATTGGCATGTTACCGCCACGTGTTAAAACGTTAAGGCTTTATCAAAGTATTGCAGCGAAAATCCAACTTAAATCTCAAAATAATATAATTTAGAAAACCAATAAGCCAAAGCTTACAAATTGGAACCATAAAGGCCCTTATTTAAAAACAAACCAATAATCAAAGTCCCAAAACATAATTAAAGTAGTAAAACATAAACAAGTTCAACACAAAGAACGAATACTCTCAATCACACCAATCCCTTGACAATGCGTATGTCAAATTACCGAACTTCACATCATCAAGCTAACCTGTGCAATACTGCTCCCCAATAATACAAGTGTAATAATTGGATCATCACAGGGTCATTGAAAGGCGAAGGCCATGACCAAAAGAAAACACACAAAAGCACGCAATCAGCAAAGCTGAGTACATACAAGCTACAATGCACAAAACCTAGCATGCTCAATTAATTAAAATAAATAAACATATAACACAAATTAATTAATCAAGACACCACACTTAAACAATTCAGTTGACTCAACATACTTCTGACCATTTGCAAACACTCGACTCTTTGGGTTTGGTTTTGGGGAGACACAAATGAGTGTCTACAAAGTGTATCACTTAAAAATCACGCCCAGAAATGGAAAGTATATCACTTAAAAAAACACGGAGGGAGTATATATTAATTATAGCACGGGCATTAAACTAGACTTTTATTTTTGTAAAATATAAAATCCCATATATGTAGTTTTTTTTTTTACTTATATATCCCTACCTTACAAGCTTACTCTTATGAATAGTGCTATTCCAATTTTACCCTTTAAAATGTCATTAATATACACCTCATTCAGGGGCGTAACCAGGATTTTTTTAAAGGGGTGGCCTAATCAATAATATAAAAAAATAACTCGACAAGTCATAAATGCATACATAATTTGGTTAAAAAAAATCAACATAAACCATTTTAAAAAATTTTACCCTTTAAAAAATCAACATAAACAATTTTACCCTTTAAAATGTCATTAATATACACCTCATTCAGGGGCGTAACCAAGATTTTTTTAAAGGGGTGGCCTAATCAATAATATAAAAAAATAACTCGACAAGTCATAAATGCATACATAATTTGGTTAAAAAAAATCAACATAAACCATTTTTTTAAAAAAAAGGTCCGTACAAATTTAAAGTGCCAAAAAAAAAAAAAATTACTTAACATGGGCTCTCCTAAGTTTTATAGAATATAAGTCATCTATAATTGACTTTATTTTAATTTTCCAGCAATCTTCTTCTCGATATACACTAGCAAGAAATCGGAAAGAAAGTCATCTTCCACCTTATTTCAAAGATTAGTTTTCACAATTAACAATTGTAAAATTAATGGTTTACATAGTTTTTTTTTTATCGTTAATGGTTTACATAGTACCTAACCCTATAGGCTATATGTATAGATTATAGAAGTACTCTTCAGTTTTTGATAATTAGTACTAGTATTTCTCAAAAATAAAATAAAATAAATAAAATTAGTACTAGTAGGAAATGAAGTACTGTACACAAAAAGTGGGGTAATAAAAGATTCTTTCCTTTTTCTTGTGATAGCCGACAAATATGTTACATCATGGGGTTTTTTAAATTATTTTTGTTTGTTTTTTTTGGTTTTTATATAAACATATTTGGGCTTAGCGTTAAACAATTTTTTGGGCCAAGGGGGTGGCCATGCCCCCCCCCCTAATTCCACCACTACCCTCATTAATATATACAAGTTTCATAAATTAATAGTGTTTGAACAATTATATTATACCATCTAAAATGTTTATTTATTTATTTATTTGCCTAAACATATTTCTTTATAATTCCCTACCTTATAAAAGTGTTTGGACAATTTTACCATCTAATTAAGATGTTTATTTATTTATTTGCCTTTATTAATGATAATTACCACTTTATTTTAACTCTTAAGAATAATACGTGGACATTTATACCCCTAAATCTATTTCTTTATATATTTCTCTCATTATTATTTTTATTTCTTATCTTATTTTTTTTTATAAAACGTACAAGCTTACTCTTATGAATAGCGTTATCTTTCAAAATGTGTATTTACATATATACCCTCATCAATATATACAAGTTTTATAAATGAATAGTGTTTAATTTGGACAATTATACCATTTAAAATGTTTATTAATTATTGCCTTTATTAATGATAATTACCACTTTATTTTAACTCTTAAAAAAATGTGTGGACATTTATACCCCTAAATATATTTCTTTACATATTTCTCTCATTATGCTGTCAATAACAAAATTTGTAATGTAAGACGAAACCGAAAGTGATTCCGAATATAACTAGCTATAGCCGCGCGCATTGGCTACCCTAGTATATATAAAATCTCATATACCTTATTATTTTTGTTTTTAACAAAATAAAGTCTAATGCTTCAATAACCTTGATAGCTGTACAAGTATAAAAAATATTGATGTAGTCGATGTATTATTATTAATGAATTTGTATTGCCACAATTAACTTCGTAGAATTTAGTAACAATTGTGCCTTGTATAGGACTTAATCTAGTTAAAAAGTAATACGGGGACAAAGTAAAAGTATGTGCAAGAGAGAAAGAAAGACAGGTAGATGGTTTGGCCATCACCTACTTTTATCAGAGAGGAAAAAAAAAAAAGTGAAACAGACTACAATCTAATACCACTGAAAACTTATAGTGTACCACTAGTTTTAATAAGTATCATTGGAAGTGTCATTGGTACAACTACGTACCACTGGAATTAGGGGTGTTCAAAAATACCCGACCCGTTTGACCCGACCCGTTTTCCCGCCGACCCGCAAAGTACCCGACGGGTATTTTTGATTTTTTTCCCTAATTTGCGGGTCGGGTACCCGACCCGTTAAAAATATAAGTTTCGCGGGTCGAGTAATGGGCCGACCTCTGACTGTATCGGGTACCCGTTAAATACCCGGAATTTTTTTTTTTTTTTTTTTATAATTTTATTAGCTGGAAGTCCTTTAGGGAATTAGGGTCTTTCCTCTTACTCTCTTAGTAGCCGCACACTAACCCCTCTCCTTTTCTCTCGCCTCTTTCACTATCAAACACACACTCTCAAACACTCCCAGGCAATCTCCTTCCTCCTTATCAGGCGACCTCCGTCAATGCCTTTCAGGCGACCTCCGTCAATCCCTTTCAGGCGACCTCCGATCCGTCAGACCCTCTCGGGCAACCTCAGATCCGCCGCGCAAGGTTAGTTTATTAATTCTTTGCTCGATTTTTTGGGGTTAATTGCTTAATTTTTTGCTTGTACGTTAATTCTTTTCTTGTTAGTTTATTAGTTCTTTGCTCGATTTTTTGGGGTTAATTATTTAATTCTTTGCTCGATTTTTTGGGGTTAATTGCTTAATTCTTTGCTCGATTTTTTGGGGTTAATTGCTTAATTCTTTACTTTTTATCCTTGGTGATATTCTACAATTGATTTATGTTTTTCTTTGAATGATTTATCTTGTGTAGGGATTATAGACTTGGCTTTGGAGCAACCAACAATTATCATTGATGAAACTATTGAAGCTTCGGATGTCACAACTCACAAGTGACAGAATTTATTCCCTCTCCCACTTAGTTTGATTTGTGGCTTTGAGAATATTGTTTGGACTTTGTAATTTATTTGGTTGTTTTGTTTTTATCTATTAAAACGGCAGGTTTAAGGCCATATTACGACATGTTTTTTTTTTTAAACAAACATATATGTTAAAATTTCGGGTACCCGGGGAAGGTACCCGATAAAAACGGGGGTACCCGCTTTTAGCGGGTCAGGTAATGGGCCGCTTAAATAACTACCCGCACTTCCGGGTACCCGAAAACCCGGTTATGAGCACCCCTAACTGGAATGACAAGTGACGTTATTTGACAACCCAATTTGCCAATATTTACGAAACACAAACTTTTAAAAAAATCGGGTACATCCATTTTAAATCTCTCTTAAAGTGATCAAAAGTTACCTCTAAAATGAATAAAAGTTACCCCTAAAATGAATAAAAGTTACCCTAATATGTATAAAAGTAACCCAATACAAATAAAAATAATCTACGTTTTATTGGTAACGAATAACATTTTAAATGGCTAAAATTTAATTATTAGTGATTGAAAGTAATTTTATCACCCTTATAAAACTTTTCTTTTTCGATTTGTAAAAAAAATCATATTATGTTTAAAGTTACCCAAAAAAAGGCAAAAAGTTATCCTAAATTGACTTAAAGTTACCTCTATACTGCTCGATGTACACTAATATTAGTGTAAACCGGATATATACAAAAGTTTTTGTTTACGAAAATGTCACGTTAGGCACTTATCAAATACCTATCAGTTCCCGTCAAAAAAAAATGGCTATCAGTTAGCTGCTAGAAATGCCTCGATATGTTGAATATTTTGAAGCCAACTAGGTGTTTCCAGAAACCTTTCAGTGAGATTAATGCATGTATGACTTGTGCTAACTGAAAATCAATCAACATGCTCATCTACATTATATATAAACAACGTTAAAGGCATCGATCTCTTGCTAACCAAACATTGAACCCCCCATTTTCTCTCCCATTCCATACACGCTGAAAATCTCAATTTCATGTAAAGAACCCCCAAACTGGTTTACAGTTGTGCATCCTCCGAAGAACAAAGTACAACCTTTTGCCCTATCACCGTGTTCAACCATTTGGCCTTGTGGATTCCTCTCCTTCACACTAAACAAGAGTAGCAATGAATGATCAATTTGTGTCCGCTTGCCACTATATACACATTTCTGTTCGAGACGATTGCAGTGGCTGGAACTATGAAGATTTTTAAGGCAATACCATCAACTCAAGCATTTGTTCATCATGGTTCACACAATATCTAAATCAGAGTATAACCCATTCAGCAAGATTCGGCCTTTCGACTTGTGTTGATCCCCATACCCAAAAGGTAAGACATTTACCTTGGTGACCCTCCACTTCCGATCATCAGCAATCAGTCCTATCTCATAACAATGTCATTTAGTCAGAGTGAACTTTCCTCTTCTGGCACCTTTTGATGTACCAAGCTGCATGCTTTTGAAGCCCCATCCCTATCATCACCTTCAGGCTCACAAGCATCACATAGGTCAACATTGTCAAACATAAAATCCAGAAAAGTCTCCAAACCAGAGGACTGCAGGGAAGACGAGCAGCATATACAGGGGTGAGCACCCTGATGACCTGGTGTTTACAAGTAAAAGATAGAAGATTTACCCAGAGCCCCATATATACCACAAAAGATATTTCAAAAAGAAGATATGCAGTCTAGCGCTCTGCCTCTAAGTACATGACACAAAGAGATGACAAATACATACAGGAAGAATTTCCCCAAGGTACAACATAAAAGAAAATAAACTTACCACACAAGCTGGGGCCACAGGAACGAAAGTGAGCGTCTTTTTTTCAGCATCAGTCTGAATGTTCAGAGTCTAAAGTAAGAAAAACATAAGCCGTGGTAAGTACAAATTCAAAATAATAAAAATAATAATAACACTACACATGCGGAAATAAAGTCTTAAAGATTAAGGCCTTATTTGGAGATGGAATATTTGACAAGATGGTATTATTAGCTGTTTGTAGTTTTGTACCAACTATTGCCTTCCTTTTTACAGAGTAGTTCTTAATACTTTCTTATCTTCAACCGTCATAGATAGTTCACACTTCACTTTATTGCATTTTTGGCAGACCTCTTTTACTACCAAACGCCCATACATCTTACCCCACAATGTTATTACCTTCTTCGTCATTTCTTAGCAAAGCATCTCTCAGTACCTTGTCAGACACCTCTATATTAATAAAGACCATGTGTAGGTCCTTCTTTCTTGCACTATAGTACTCATTTTTTGTCTATTGTAGATCGTGCAGCATGAATCCAAACCAATTCTTTAAGACACTATCACATTTTCTCATTTTATATTTTATCACGTTCTCCCATAACTAAAAGTCAATAGCCAACAAATAAGTGGTGAACAGTCCCTGTCCCTCTGTATCAGTGAGAAAAGCAAAAGGATGAAAAGCTAAGGGATGTTTAAAAGGCATGAGGTACAATGCATACTTAGGCAATATGAGACCTGGAGTACAGGCTTGAAACATGAGGTGAAGCAAGGCCAATAACATAGAATAACGCACAATCTCCCTGCTTACATGCATGCACGATCTGCAACATAATAAAGCAAGTAGTGTACCTGTTTGCAGAGGTCTTCAAGAAACTCAGAGTACACAATGGGTTTTATGTCATTAAATTTGGCAATAAATGAATGCTTAATGACATCAATTGCCATTTCGGAGAAATAAACCAAGAGAGCATTCTGTCAAAATTAGCACATTCAGTAACGTAAAAAAAAAGGTGACAGTAAATTATTTGTAAATTAATTTAATGAAAAGATATTCTTCAAACTCACAGAAAGGAAATTTCCGAACCATGGACCCTCAGCTTCCTGAATATTTTGTGCCAAAACAAATATGACAAATGCTGTGATATGGAACCTCTCGATTGAATCTAATCATGTAAAAGAACAAAGGAGACACAGTAAGCACCATCAGACATCAGTGATCAGTCACATCACAACAACCTAAATCAACAGGGAGATGCAGTAATAATATTTAATAACAGCAATAATATTCATTGCTGCATTTATATTAAAATGTTACATTGACTACTATATTACACTTGCTCATTGGATCTTATTTTAAAAATATTTGTTTAAGTTTCTGAAAATTTCACTTTTCTTTTGTACCCAAAAGAAAATAAAAGAGAACAGAGTTAATTGATGGTTACTGGTGATAGCGTTACATATGTAGAAACAATGCTTACCAGAGTATACAATGCTATGAACATTATCTTTACTGAATCTCTTGAACACATTGCTTTTAATCTCCGCAAAATTATTTGAGACTAGCAGAGCAAGTAAAGCATTATTATGAGCCACTATACAGGTTGACAAGGTTATTGCCTGAGCTAATAATATAAAAGAATGAACAAGTAAGAATAAGAGTCAAGGAACCCAACAAAACTAGAACTACAACCATAATTTCAAGAGCAAACATATATATTCAATATGGAGGATATTTGAAGCAGCTGCAGCCAACAATAAATCAATGGTATATCTTTCCAGCCAATATCTTGATAACTCTGGTGAAGAACATGCAAACCCCTCAGCAGTATTGAATAATGTCTGAAACACATCACCTCCAAAACTTTGCCAAAGTTTATCAAATATCTGCCATGGATATAAAATAAATTGAATTTGTCAATACCTACAAAAATCAATAATGTTAAGCAACAGACACATTCACAAAATGAGCTTAGATATGCAATGCCACATTCACAGATGCATTCTACTTTCTCCCCTACCAGAATGAGCAATAGGAAAAAGAAACATATCAAAAGCAACACGTACAACAATCTTGGTTTTGGATCGAAAGTGCCAACAAAACAAATATGCCGGAACCATCAGTACAGCACCTATTATAACAAACTATAGTCATAAACTAGAGTGGAAGAAAGCCTTATCAGGAGGTCATGCTAAAAAAAATTTAGTTGGTGTGGAAGGGGAGGCAGATAATTCTATAGATCTCATCCATCAAGCATAGGAAATGTTCTTCCCCAGCTGTAAGTTTTGGAACATTCAAGTATGGGTATGAAACGCCAGAAAACCCAAGCTGGAAAACAAAAGGCTTCAGAAAAGGGATGCTGAAACGAAGTTTAAAAACAGGCATAAGGGCCTTATGTGTGTTTACAACCCAGCAATGTCAAGCCAAGGTAAAAAATTAATTGAAAGTCTTAACTAAAAACCCTAGCTGCTGAAAAGAGACATATAGACCTGTTTCTCTTTCTGTCTAAGTCTTGGTCTCTCTAACGTGCACACAATAAGAAACGATTATATCTAGCAGTAAGGTTGCCACTCTCATCTTTCCTTACTCCTGTATTATGAAAAGCTTCCCAATGAAGAACCCACCCACCTCCCACAGTGGCGAGCTCATCAATCTCATTTTCATGGGATGCCTCCGCATGTGAAAAACCCAAAAACTGTCAATATAGCACATAGGTACTAGAGGCCAAGCACCACATCAGTTGAAATATTATATAATAATGGGAAAGAGACATAAAAATGAGGCTCCCATCCCACACATCCTGAATGTGTTACCCATAATGAGGCTCCCATCCCACACATCCTGAATGTTTTACCCACACAAAGTATTATGACTAATATTGAACCTAACAGCGAAATAAAAAGAAAGAAAGAAACACCTGAGAAATTAATTTCCATGGACAAGCATGTCACTGTTTCACCACACAAAGCATCTCACCTGTTTTATAGTAGACCATATTGACTTTGGTTATAAGAGTGAGTACCAGCAGGTTTTGAAATAGATATATATTTATCTTCTGTTTTGCTCCTTCACCATTACTCTCATTACATTCATAAAATGATCCAACTATTTTCTCATAAAAAAAAGGCTTAAAATTTTCAAATTCCAAGTAGAGTAATATATTAAATTTAATAACTTTTTCTTCATTTTATTCAAGATATTTGTTCTGTACTTCGTATCTAAGTTTTTCCGGTTTATTAGTCATTGCACTTTGTCATTTTCTTGTTTCAATTTCTGATTTCATTAGTAGTATAGAATAATAATGGGATGAAGTCATGAAGTTAATTAGACAGGTGAAGGATAGAACATAGAAGAAAGAAACAGAGAAGAGAAAAAAGATTTAGACAGGGTGAAGCAACAATCTAGCGTAGGAATCTTAATTTATCATTATGATGCTACCATTATCAATCATCAATTATCATAAAAGGTTACAAATATCCATAGCTGCAGGCAACCATGATTTATACAAGTAATAAGTTAAATCTAGAAAGAAATAAAAGAGACTTGAAAAGAAAGGACCTTCTTGTCAAAAAAGAAAAAGAAAAAGAAAGGACCTAACAACAACAACAAAGCCTTAGCCTCAAAATGATTCAGGGTCGGCTAACATGAAATGCCACAAGGAAGTGTCCAAAAAGCAAAATGGGTATAGCAAAATAATCGATCGAATAAAAGTTGGAAAAAAGTGTGTAAAGTGAAAAATAGATAGAGAATACAAGTAAAATTTGCTAGAGTTTTTTTTACAAAAGTGGTAAAGGGATAAAAGGAGAAAGATATTTGATTTCCTCTTACGCTTTTAAAGTCATTCATTAATATTATGACGATTGATTACATCAATTAGAAAAGTCAGAATTCATTTATAGTGTAATTGGTCACTTGAATTTCATTAGAAATTCTGGAATTGGATAAATCAAGTGTTTGGAAGATGAAGAATTTCAAATGTAGAATAGGCCCAATACCAAACGCAATCAATAAGGCTCATGGCTTTAAAATTACAATTTTTACAATGTCATTTGAAATTATTGTACTCCTCTACAACATACTGCACAACCTAATTCTACAAGCCCACAGCTCAAACCTAAAACACAAACTAGGATTTCAATTTCCCTCTCAATCTCTCTTTCCTCTACAGTTCATACCCCCAATTTTTCTCTCCTAAGGAACCATATATATTAATGCTTATCGACTTTGAGAAAAAGCTTGAGAACGAGAGAGAATGAAAATGGTGTATACGAGTGTGTGGATTGGAAGCTATTATGTTGAAATTGAAGAAGAAGAAGGGATTAAGCTTCCTTTTTTTTTTTTTTTTTTGAGGTCATTGCAAATTTTGAAATTCGTTTTCTTCATCACTTAGAGAATCAAATATCAGAAGATCCAATGTACCATTTTTTTGTTTGAATTTTACTTATTAGTGTTGAGTTAGTTTTCCTAGTCATTAACGTATTCAAAATATTTCAGAATCATATAATTATTCAGTGATTAGGAAGTATTTCACTTGAAGTCAAAGTTTAAATTACTTCCAAAATAGCATAGAGGATCTAAAATAATGGATTCAGAAGTCTAGTAATTTTTAAACAGGAATCAAAACTCAGAATTTGAAATCAGATGAAGAATTTGAAATCAAATCCTTGTATCCAAACTTCAACACTAACTTAACAAATTGCAAAAATGAATAAGTACATCAATCAAATTTATTTAGAGCATTTCTAGGACTCCTACATAAGTTTTGGCAGCCATAAAGACTGGAGAAATCTTTAGCATTCAGATTCTATGCTGATATTGTAGGAGATTTGGTATTGGTGAATTATAAAATTTCTGAATCAATGTGTATAGGAAGACTTCATAATAAATAGGGTAGTTATCCTAACACCTCCTTTTCCTCGAGCTAAAGGCCTACTGGATTTCTACAAGTGAAGTCCAAATAGAATGGCAATTTGGCATAATTTCAAGTAGTATATTAGTATTCCCTCCATTCCATGAAGTTCTTATTTGCCTTTTATACAGTCTGCAATGCACACATTCGACCATTAATGAGAATCATGACCCGGCAAAGCGGGGCTTGCAGTAACATAACAATTTAAATAAGTTGACTACGTGCTACTTCTATATGATTAAAATAAAAGTTGATACATTTCACATAATTAATCCAACAAGATCCTACATGATATGATTATTTCTATACAATTATAGAAGTTACTAAAGGTCAAATTTTCTTATCTTTGACTATATAAAAAGTGAGTAGGAAAAACATTATGGAACAAAGAAAGTATAATATCCAATTAGAAACACATTGCCCCAGTTCTGCACATCACAAACAGGGAAATCTAAAAGAAATGACAAAAGAACCTTGAGATAGGAACTGTCTTCAAATCTTCAATATGCAGATATCTCTAACGATAGCTTACCTCTAAAACATTATAGACAACATAAAGCTTGATAATTCCTTGACCACGAATCATATGGTATATGAGGCTTATATCTGAAATATTAGCAAAGAAGGAAATAAGTCCAAAGATTAATCAAATACAACCGAGTTACAAACACCAGATTCCTTCACAAAGTCCAATAGAAAATGTTATGCTTAATATTCCCAAAATATTATGCTGCACACACACACGCACATGCGAGAGAGAAAGAGAGAGAGAGAGATGAACTTATAGTCATACCTGTCCGCCCCAAAAGCGTAACTCCAACAGCTAGAACAAAGAGACAACCAAAATCTGACAGCTCTGCGGCAGAAGGTGTTTTGGGCTGCCTGCCACAAACATGGTTAGATTATCATGTAAATTTAAGGAGCTACCAATACATCGAACCAAGGAAACTATAAACTATAGTAGTATTCATTAGTGATTATGAACCACAAAATTGCAACATCCTATATCACCACCTACGACTAAAAAAGTCCTAGAAAATGCTGTGAAACCATTGGATTTGGACAAAACCATCATCCTTATCAGCCTTTTGTGGTTGTTTACTACCCTAGATACCAAGATTGTCATCAGAATCTTGTATTAGCAAAGAACAGTGTACTTCTGTGCTTCTTGGAGAATCCCAATAGCTTGCAACTGAATGGTAGATATCTCAGATGCAGGAGATTCCTAGATCTTTTGTTTTTCCCCGTCACTTATCATCCTTGACCTCAAAGTAATAAGAGATTTCTCCAGTTCCATAAACAATCATCCCCCTATAAGAAACTTTAATCGTCAGCTGAACTGGCACCATCATTTTTTTTTTAATCCTTTGCCCAAATTTCTGCTGGATTGGGCGAAGGTATATTGAACAATGAGTGTTGACCCTTACAAACCAAATACAACCTCGCCAAGAGGGAATTTGGGCATTTTTCACACCTGACCCCAAAGTTACACTAGCGGCAGAGAACGGGTAATTCAGAACAAGTTCAGTTCTTTCAGGCGACAAGTCATTTATTCCCTTTTAGGCCAGTAGGGTCATCTACAGGTCTACATCCTATTATGATAGTGTGATAATCTAATCAATACCTATCACATTAACTTTTAGATCAAATTAAGTGGGTTTGGGTTGGGTTAATTATGGGTATGTCACACCCTTAGAGCAGGCATGCACTAGAGCACCTTATTAGTTACTTAGCTGTCTTCGATTCACAAATAACCACAAGAACCTTACAAAAATGAAGCAATGGTAAGCAACAAACCTTTTACTAAGTAGCCTCCATAGGGTTACCAGAGCTCTCATAGGTATGATAGTCAGCAACGACAAAAACGAATTCAAACAGACGAAGAAGCTCACGTCAATAAGCTGCCAGAGAAAATTGTATACTAAGCTTTAAGTAAACAAGTAAAACATAATCTCTTCTACATCAATAAGCCCACAACTACTAGTAAAAATTTTCTTTCCCGAAAAGATACAAATTAAAATGGATAAGGAAACCGGAACGACAACCAATGCATAAAATAAATTAATGAATTAGCAATAAAGATGATGAAATATAGATAAAATCCTAGTAGCATTAAAGAGCTTATTAAAGTCACCCTGAGAAACTTAACAAGAAACCTTACCATCAATTTATGATAAATATTAGAAAATATTTAGCAATCATCGAGCTTAAATTCACGACATGAAGCCAATAATAATACTTAATAACTAACGCAGTATGGATTGAAATGTAGTGAAAAACTCATGATATAGCACTTAAATAATGTTATTATAACAAGAACAGCATGCATCACAATACACATGAAGCAACATAAAAATTGACTTTCTCCAACATAAATACAAAGAAAGAGAAGCATAACAAATACCAGTTCACACCTCCATGGCAAGCGGAAGATAGTGTCATAAACTCTCTCTCTTTCTTTCTCAGTTCCTCGTGTCGTTGTGCTTCTAATAGAATTTCCATTGTGCATTTCTTCCATGAAGAATTTTATTGGTGAATTCTCCACAGGAAAAGGATCTAGAGGATAGTGAAGGAGATGAGATAAATAAATCCATGATTATAATATAAAAGACATACCCCACCCATCACATAATAAGTATCTCATTGAAGCCTTAAGTTTAAAGTAGCATGAGAAAGTCAAAACTAAGATATTACAAATCTACAATTAAATGAAACTAAACTATTCAATGGAATATTACAAATTTATTAGTAACCCTAATTCAATTTTCCAGACACTTTATGATTTGCAATAAAAGAACAAACTATTTGTATAGAAAATTTTAGTATTTTTACAATTAGTTCAACAATCTTGAAATTTATTTTTGACATCCCCATTTAAAAAGAGATTATTATCAAAATCTAAAGGAGCTACCCAACTAAAGATGGCTGTCTTAGTGTCAAGCCTGAGTCTCTTAGAGCTCGCAGGCCCACCAGTCAAAATTTTCAAAAGGGCAGTACAAGCACAGTCCAAGTCCACATGCCACCATGTTTTGCTTATGCATATAAGCCGAATTTCACTAATTATAACATGTTTTCTTAAATTATAATCCTTGTTACCTTAATTGGAAAATTTACCTAACCCCTTTCATTCAACCCATGTGATAAGGGGTCCGCCACTATGTCACCCTCATTATCTCTCTTACAAATTATGTGATATGAGACTCTCCACTATCTTTTCCGCAATCACATTTTCATACTTTTTTCAATATATACCAAAAAAGACTAGACTAACCTGCAATCTACTCTTGATATGTGTACCTAAGCCTAAGAGGACAATAGTTTGAGGACTAAGGAAGTAACACATCCACACAAAAAAATGATTAACAAGGCCACAACCCCATATGAAAGTTTGAACAAACTTTTTCTATATATGCCCTATTGCAGAAAAACACATAGAAGTATATCAACCAGCATCAGGCATGAGAAGCATCTAGGTAGAGAGACTAGGAACCAAGCTCCTTTGAGCCAAAAAAAAGCTGACATTACTCTGCAAAACTACTAATTGGAAGGGACTTTGGTGCGTGGAATCAGACAAAAGTTAGGCCAATCTTGGCTCTTTTGGTACCCTATAATATACGGAATTCAGCTCTACAGGGATTAAGTTGCTAGAAAGAAAAAAAAAAATGCTCACAACTTTGAAGCCATCTAATATGTCATGTACTATGGGTTTGGAATCTGTAAAATGAAACTCCTACTATTAGTTGAAATATTTTACTTCAAGACCTGATATCAGCCAAAAGCGTTGAATCTCTAAGGGTGCGTTCTGTTCACTTTAAAAGTTTTAAGGCTAATCAAATCTAACGTTAAGTTCAAATGAAGATAACACAACCAAACTTTTTAACCAGGAATAATTTAGCCTCCAAGAGGCTTTATTTTGAAGGTTGCCAATTTCTAAATCTACTTGAAATCACAATTTCAAATTGAGTTAACCAATAAGGATGGCAAGCAATGTGGTATAGGTTGATTATTAGCATTTAACGAATAATGAGAAAGATTAATCACATGCAATGGGTGGTAAAGCAACTGTGATGTGACATATTACTAGCCGATCCTTGCCTGCCCCTCTACATGCTGTATCTATTGAGGATTCGACTATAGTTTTAAGTTTTAAAGGTTACTTAGATCAATACTAATTTGTCAGAAAAAACCTCCTTAGCCGATTGCGGAACAAGAAATTTACTATCATGAGTGATATCTATAATAGATTATAGTTTTTGTTAGTTTTGAAGGAGTTTGTAATTTGAAGTTGAAAAACATTAGAAGGGTTCTTCCACCTCAAATTAGGTTGAAATGATGAATATACATAACAGTTCATTTCTAATTTTCAGGTAATACATATGGATAAATGAACAAGTATATGCAGGTGTATAAGGACCCATTAAGTGATGGGATGGATTGTTTTATTGTTTACATACATATGTGTTTCCATCCTGATATGCCAGCAAAGTAAAAGAGTATAGTGCTAATGAGCAGCTCCCGTTCCAAATCAAAGGCAAACTCTAAGAGAATACCATGCTACCAGCATAGCCACCAAAAATAGTATAGATACAACTATACAAGTATGAAAGACCCTCTCTTTGCACATACATCCTACACCATTGCTAATTTTATCATGAAATTGGCTAGGCCATCTCTACTCAATAGGAAGTACAATTATCCTACAAAGAAAAATAGCATTGAAGTACCAAAGGTTTGCAAAGTGCACGTCAAGCAAAGAGTCTTACAAATAGTGTCATAACAAAATATCTTAGCAATAGTGTATGTTGACCTTATGTTTTGATGATGACTCAAGGAACCTAAGCAAACCTATACAAGTTTAACTTTCGTTTTTAGCTTTGATTTATGACAGGTTTATGCTATGAAATTCTTGAGTGAGAAGGGAGCATGGAACAAGATCTAAGTTAGCTATGGAAGGATAAAGAAGTCAATCACAAGTCGTGTTCCTTTTATAAGGAACTGAAGCTCCAGAAGCTTCGAAGAGAAGTTCCTTTAGTGAGGAACTGAAGCTTCTCAGCGTATCAAGGAGTCTAATATATTTTATCTTTATGTTAGGCATCTTGTATTTATGCGAAGTACAATGATAATTTAAGGTTTAAGTGGATTTAAATTTATTTATGATAAAAGATTTTATTTTCCATATTTTAACTTGTTAATTTTTCGAAAATATCTTTTAAGTTAAAATATCTTTTGGAAAAAGATTTTCTGGTTTGATTTCATCTTATTCTTTGGAAAATCTGTTTTAGAAAATATTCTTTTAACGTGCATGTTACTATGTCAAAAGCAATTGAGATATTTTAGGAGCAGCAAAACTGATTTCCTAGTATTTCGTTTTACTTGCTGCCCAAGATCCCACTCCTTACACTTCCTAGTTTCAAGGAGGTTGTGGTTGAGTGGTGATTGTGGCAACGAGTATTTCAACTGCCTAAATCTTCTATAAATAGCCTTGGTTTTTCAGTTGGAAAATTACACTTGAGCATTACAGTCTTTTAGCTTTTAAAAAGAGTCATAATCCACTTGAATCCTTGAGTGTCTTTGTACTTAACAATTTAGAGTTTAATCTTTGAGTTGTATTGGGTTAGAGTTTGGGGAAACTCTAAGAGTGTTTTATTGATTTGAGTGAAGCAAGGAGAAAGAGAGAGTTTGAGAGTTCGACTGGTTGAGGGATCAGTTGAAGGGAGCTTAAGTTCATAGAGGAACTTGAGTTTAGAGTCTTAATTTGTAATAGGTTGTTTGCCCTATTATTATTAAGAATTGAGATTAAAATCTCTTGTGGTCGTGGTTTTTCTTCTTGATTAGGGCCAAGAAGTTTTCCACGTAAAATCTCTCTTTTCACTTTTAGTTTTTATTCGAGTTCCTTTATAAATTCCGCAAAAATTACCCTATTTCCTCTACAATACAATTCACCCCCCCCCCCTCTTGTATTGTTCATTCGAGTCAACAGTGTAGCAAGATATTGGCTCATTTACCTATGGCTTAATGTGAAGATTTAAAGTACCCAGTAGTTGCCAGCACATTGAAGTGAAAATGCAGAGAGAATGCATTTGATTGGAAAGGCTTATATTAGCAGCCCAAGTATATTAGGTAACACAGAAAAGTTTTTGAAAAGAGAAATAAGCTATCTACGAGTATTAAAAAAACATAGCAAGAGCAAGAGCAAGAGCATATTATTGGAGAAGGAAGTTTATTTCAAATTAATTAGCAATATTTTCTTTAATCAGATTCTCGTCTGCATTGCTATAAGGATAATGACCATTATTTGCTGAAAATCTATATACAAGTTCAAGACAACCCAATGATAGAGGATTACAAGCAGATGAAAGCTAACAAGCATAAAAGCAGATCAGAAACATTACATGACTTCATTTGTATATGGATGTGGTGTGGTTAGCATCACACAGAGGGATAAAAGATGACAGCCTGATGCGTGTGCAAGACAAGCATAATGATCATGTCAACATACAAGACGAGCTTAAATTTGCAAAAGATATACAATGTATATGCAACCTTCAACTATGTAACTTATCTAGCACATCAAGAATTATCATGAATGTAAAAAAAAAGTTGAGCTGTATCTCATGGAGCAAAATTCGGAAATTAAAAAAGCTTCCAAATCGAGGTGTATCTCATGGAATAGACTCAACAAAGCTGCTTATCATGAATGTAAAAAAAAAAAAAAATAATAATAAAAAAATAAAAAAAAGTTGGAAATGGTATCGATCACTCGATCAAACTCTTTTAACCCTACAGCTCATCATAGCTCTTATAACTACAAATTTAGACAGCGAATTGACTAAAGCGATTTCAAGTTACTAGCAAGAATCTCATTCGGTTATCAACTCTAACAAAATCAACAATGCACCACTTGAAATAAACAAATACTTGTATCAATCATCAAATAATTCTGTAGAGGGCTAACTGACGAACGCGATTTCAATTCTACTAGCAAGCATCTAATCAAGTTTTGGTTCAGCTCATACAATATCTTTTTTTATTTTTTTCCCGTCAAAAAAAATTACCAAACAATTTAAAAAACAGAACTTTAACTAATCACTTCCAAGAACAAGAAAAGCCAAATTGAAGTAAAAATTCTTACAATTAGGATCTTCCTCTGCCATAAATCGGCTCCAATCCAAAGACTCCGCAGTATCCAACTTCCCATTAACAAGATTCGATCTCGAATTAGAATTTGAATTCGCCTCGGGTTCCGGTACCTCTACAACCGGAATCAAATCTCCGCCACCACTTCCGCCACTACTGACATTCCTCTGGCGTAATTCCCCCTGCGAAACCTGGCAAACCGTACTCAAACTCTCCTCTCTCATCTCACAAACCACGAAACTCGGCGCCGAATAGCTGTGTGAAGTCATCGACGGCTCCTCCTCCAATACGGCAACACCACCATCACCGCCATTTTCAAAGATGGTGTTGAATTCAAATGGTGAGGGTGAATTAGGGGTGGATTTCTTCCGCCTTTGCTTTCGTCTTCGGCGATTGGACTTGTTGTTTTGAGGCAAAGGATCGGAGTTTGAACGATCGACAATGGTATCATCTGGAAAATTGGAAGAAAGGATCTCAAAAGAAAGCTGTTTTCCTTTGGATTTCAATGCCATTGAAGAAATTGGCTGATGAATCACTCAATTGTGTGATTCAAATCATCGAATTCTTGAACAGAAATTGTCTCGAAAAGTGCAAGAAGATCAACGAGAGAAAAGTGTCGAGTAATCGTTGCTTCGGTGGTGCGCTTCCACCTTCCAGGAGAGTGGTGCGCTGTTTGGGCGCGAGAGAATGAGTAGTAGTGTGGGTGCTCACTGCTCAGGTGGGATTATTAGTTTACTACGGAGTAGTGCACTAGTCCCCGCCGAGAATTGGTCGGATGCGCCAATCTCAATTCTCAAATCTCAATTCAAGGCAATTTTTATAACTGTTATTTGTTAATTGGGAAATGTTACGGGGGTGTTTGATTAATGAGACATGTTATGGCTTACGGAGATTGTGGGGATCAAAAATAACCACTCCATTAATTATTCCCTTTTAAATTAGGAAAAATTAAAAAGAATAATCTCACCTTTGTCACTTCTGCTCAAAATAATCTCACCTTTGAATAATCTAGAAACAATCCCACCTTTATACCCCATCTGCTCAAAATAGTCCCTTGACCGGTTTGTTTACTTGTTAGCCTATTAAAGAAGGTGTCTGCCACGTGTCGATTTCTTATTGGTCACTTTTAAAATAATATAACAACCAAAAATAAAAATTAATTATATTTAAAACAAAACCGAGCATCCTCCTCCCCCTTCCTGATCCCCCATCCGAACGGCGGTCAACCACCATCCCACCCATGCCGGAGCAGCCCCACCTTCTTCCCAATCCCCAACAATCATCCCGCGTGCCGTCACACTCCCTGCCCCCGTTAAAATCTCGTAGTAGGTGTGTCAGTGTGTGTGAGGGCATTATGATATGGTGCTATAGGCCTATGGCTATGGATCAGAATCGAAGAACAAGCTACCAATTGCTTTTCTTTACCATTTAACAATTTGCAAGTATAATATGATTGAAATTTTCCTGGAGTCTACTTAATTGATTTTGTTGTGCACACTTGATTTAGATTAAAATAACCAAGAATAGTAAACTTGGCTAGTTCATTTTTTTTAATAAATTTTATGCCGAAATTTCGCTATTCTCCATCTCTAAGTGAGAAGTAGTGTAACTGAAAAGATCTTATTAGGATGATGGTGTACTTACGTGTGTATTTTGTTGTTGTTTTTTTGGCAAATAAAGATTTTATTACCAAAGAAAGAGAGTTACAACTTACAAAAGCTAAGTTATAACTACCAAAACAACACCACAAGCCCAAACAGGACAAAAAACACCCCAAACACCAGTTCTAGGACCCACCCTAGCCACCTTCTAGGAAGGGTTCTAGGGAGGACCTAAAACAAACTGGACTCAAGCTTCCAGGTACCTTCTATGAAGGGCTCTGGAAACAAGGACCAGACAACAAAAAAAGTCAACCACTATGTAAAAACAGCAGCTAGCAGACTAGCCTACCAACTGAACCACCAAACAGCAAAGCCTAAACATACAAATATTTTCTATCAGCATCAATGCATCTACAAGAAACAGAAAAAATAACATCCCTAAAAGCAATATCTGCAGGCTTGTAGTCTCCAGTGAACATCAAAGTATTTCTCTGTATCCAGATGCAATGAATAGTCTCTGCAAAAACACATAAGCAACAACCTTCCTTTAGCAGTAGCTCTTCTACCTTATTGCAGCACCCAAAGGACTTCAGAGTCAAATCTCTGCCCAATTCTACAGAACCCAAGAAGTTTCAAAATTCTGTTCCAAATACTAGCACAATATGAACATTCAAAAAACAAATGAGAAACATTTTCTGCAGTACTAGCACAAAGGATCACAGGTTATATTCCAAGTAGTAAGTCTATCTTTAGTGACTAATCTATTCCAAATAGCCAACCAAGTGATAAACACACTCTTAGCAGAAGCTCTGTTATTGCAGATTATTCTCTTCCAAGTCACTTTCTCAACTTGTGGTCTGATCTGAAAGTAGAGTTGTCTAATGCTCATTTTACCATTAACTGTAATTCCAGGCCATCTACCCACATTATCAACCAAAATTCTGCAATTCATGATCTTCCTTAAGACCCAAGAACATTTGTTAGGAACAGGAGAAGACCAGAAATCTTTGTTGCTGAAATAATATGTATGAATCCATTTTACCCATAGATTATCAGATTTATGAGCAATGTCCCAAAGAACTTTGGTGATTGCTGCTTTATTCCAATCTTCAAGAGAGGTAAGGTTCCCCCCTCCACAAGTCTTAGGCAAGCATAAAAACTTCCAAGAGACCAGAGCTTTCTTACTAGGATTAGATTTCCCAGTCCAAAGAAAACATCTAAATCTTGACTCCATTTCTCTCAAAATCTTTTTTGGTAAAATAAAAATCTGAGACCAATAAGCTTGGATACCAAAAAGAACACTCTTTATCAGCTGAAGCCTACCAGCATAAGACAAATGCCTAGCTGCCCACCCTTCAATCCTAGCAGTTACTCTCTCAACTAAAGGCTTGCACTGAGAAATAGTAAGCTTTTTAGAAGAAAGAGGAACACCCAGGTACCTAAAAGGCAAGGAACCTCTAGCAACCCCCAAAACAGACTGAAGCTCAACTTGATCTTGCTCACTTATCCCTCTAAAATAAACATCACTCTTATCCAGATTAGCAACCAAACCAGAAGCACCAGAGAATTTCTGAAAAGCTTGAAAAATCAACTGAATAGAGACAAGGTCAGCCTTGGAGAAAAGAAGTAAATCATCTGCAAACATCAAATGAGTAATCCCCAACTTTGCACATCTTGGGTGAAAATTGAAATCAAGGTTCACAGTCATCACTTTTAAGCACCTTGAAAGATATTCCATACAAACAGCAAAGAGAAAAGGGGACATAGGATCTCCTTGCCTCAAACCCTTTTTAGCAGAAAAGGGAAGAGAAGGGTATCCATTGATCAAAATAGAATAAGAGACAGTTGTAACACACCCCATAATCCAAGAGATGAATTTGTTAGGAAAACCCAACTCAGCAAGAATAGTTCTCAAAAAACTCCATTCAACAGAATCATAAGCTTTCCTAAGATCAACCTTAAGTAAACATCTAGGAGTGATGAACTTATGAGAATAACCCTTGATAAGCTCAGTAGCAAGAAGGATATGATCACCAATATGATTACCAGGAATGAAGCCAGCCTGAGCATCATTAATGACATCTCCAATATCTTGTGAAAGCCTGGCTGTAATAATTTTAGAAATAAGCTTGTAGACTAAAGTACAGCAAGCAATAGGTCTATACTCCTTTACATAAGAGCGATTAAAAACTTTAGGAACAAGAGTAATGGTAGTACAATTCCATTGTCTAGCCATTTGACCATTAGAAAAGAAATCCAGAACAGCAGCATACACATCAGCTTTAACAATATCCCAAGACTTTTTGAAAAAGACAGCATTAAAGCCATCAATTCCAGGAGCTTTATCATTATCAATACCCTTAAGAGCAAGATCAATCTCACTGAAAGTAACTTCAGCCATAAGAAAATTCTTAGCATTCTGATCAAGCTGAGGGCCAGTTCTCATATCAGCTAAATCAACCCCAGGGAGAGAAGAAGCAGCAGAACCTAAAAGATTCTTATAGAAGTCCAAGATTTCCACAACAATGAGATCAGGATCCCTGAGCAAAACCCCTTCATTATTATAGATAGAATCAATTTTGTTCCTATTTTGCCTGTTTCATTACAGAGAAAAAGAAATGAGAGTTAGCATCTCCAAGCTTAATCCATTCAATTCTAGATTTTTTCCTGTAGATACTACTTTTAATATGCATCCAATGTTTCACTTTATCAATAGCAATATTCTCAAGAGCCTGAAACTGGATATTGGTCCAATCATCAGCCAACTTCATTTGGATATCACTAAGATCCCTGTGAGCTTGCTCCAAATTTTCAGTGACATTAGCAAAATGTTTAACATTCAGAGCCTTCAATCCAAGTTTAACGACCTTTAGTTTATTCCAGACAGACAGCATTGGGGAATCATGCTGTCCACAGGACTCCCAAGAATCCTTAACAATCTGCTGGAAATCTTTATGATCAGAAAGACAATTAAGAAATCTGAAAGGTCTACCCTTCCCTAGACCAGCAGTGCTAATATTAAACAAAAGAGGACAGTGATCAGAGAGAGAAGGAGGGAGATAAATGACTTCAGTTTGACCATAATCATTACTCCAAGCTTCATTGACAATGCCCCTATCAATTCTAGTAACAATTCTACTAGCACCTTCACCCTTGTTAGACCAAGAATAAAAAGAGCCTTTACTCTTAATCTCAGTGAAGTCCATTGATTCCATACAATCCTTAAAATCTCTAACTTCAGCATCAGTCACAGGATTGCCATTAAACCTATCTTCAGAGCAAAGGACAGAATTAAAGTCTCCCAAACAAATCCAAGGGACATGAGAACTCCCAAGTGTCTGCAATCCAAGCCACAAAGGTTTTCTATCATGAATTGAATGCAGACCATACACAAAAGTACACAGAAAAAGATGTTGTGAATCTTTAGAGCTAATCTGAGTATGAACAAACTGTTCATGATCAGATAAAACATTAACAGTTACTTTATCAGTTTTCCAACCAACCCAAATTCTTCCTTTAACAGCATGATTATAGTTTCAGTACCAGGACCATAATCTACCAAACTTCTTTTGAATAGAATTTTGATTATGAATTTTGACTTTAGTTTCAAGAATAGCAATCACATCCACACTATGATCTTTTAAAAGCTGCTTAACAGCAGCTACCTTATCAAGGTCATTAAGACCTCTGATATTCCAAGAGACTACAATCATTTAACCAAAGAGGGATTACCATCACCCTCGATAGGATTTGCTTCAGCAATTTCATCTTCTAGCAAAGCAGAATAAGCATTGTTAGTTCTAGGAATATTCTGATTAACCCCAACAGTATGAGATCTAGCCCTTTTGCTTACCACCCTCCAATCAGCATCAGAATAAGTAGAAAAAGAAGCATGAGCAGGGGTAATCAAGGGTTGCAAATCAGAACTTTGATCCTTCCCCTGGTCTTGTTCAGAAACAGCAGCTACAGGATCTGAAATAGGCTTTTTCTGAACCCAAACTTTCTTTGGATTTGTGTGGGGATTAACTTGCTGAGCCTTAGGCTTATCCTTTGGCTTAGGAGCATTACAATCATGCCCCACTCTATCACACTTCTTGCAAAAGGGAGGAGACCATTCAAATATGATTCTTAATTCAATCATTTCTCCCATAGGACTCTCAACAAGCAGAGTAGTAGGAAGGGGCCTAGTTATATCAACTTCAATAAGCAGCCTAGCAAAGGAGACTCTCAGTTGTCTAGTTGTATATTCATCAGCAAACA